CTTTTATTTACTCTCTATACCTCTTAAGCAGGATCATTTTAATGTCAGTTGATCATCTTATTGATATTCCCCGTGTGAGGTTGGTGGACCCTGCACAGATGAAAAAACAGTTTTAGGTATCTCAAAATCAAGGTACAGAAATATTTTCTTCATTCTTTCAGGCTAACAAGCACTGACAGGCATTCAAAGCATCAAACTGTCAACACTGGGACTTCTGCTGTCGTCTGCGTCATAATCTGTTTCTTAGTAACACTTGGTCTGAGCGGCGGTGATAGAATTAATTATACTTCATTTTGCTGCCTTTAACAGTATTGACCAAATTTAAGAACAAATTAGAAATGCTTATCAAGCTTGAAGAAAATAATCCATCAGTGGCACAATTTAAATTCTCTGCAGTTCTCTTATTAATCAAAGTAACACTTACTATCCTATCTCCACTTCCCATTAACAGTCATTAAGCCCTGCTGCTGATTGAAGCAATTTCTTTAGGTATCTCAACCTCATTTTTAAGAGAACCTTCTTTAACGGAAAACAATACCATATAAACGCGGCAACTTAGGAGGGAGAAGGTTCTTCAACGGTGTTCTGACCTTGATATTTCTCAACAGTGTAAGTTCAAAAAGTACACAACTGCGAGCTTGGGAACTTCAAGAGTGGATGGGCTGCCCTTGCCTCAGCACCTGAAGGAGGCATGAAGCCAACAAGCAAGGCATAGACTTGGGTTAAACCTCTTGCCAGCCCTTCCAAGCTACTGGGGCCCCCGGGTTATTCTTTCACTCAGAGGGTCAGATGCATCTCAGAAACAGGGAACACACTGAGAAGTGTTAACCAGGAATACCTTGGTCTTGACTTGTGGCTCTGAGCAGGCACACGGCAAGACGTCTGGAGTCGAAGACATGGTCTGGAGGCAGTACTCAACCCTACTAACCCGTGGCATCCTGAGCAAGTTGTCTATTCTTTCTGTTTCCATGTTTCCTTTGCAATAGAAATCATACTATCATGTGCTGGACTTCCTTTTCCCAACTGTTGTAGAAAAGCACACGAGAAAAGGTATGCGAACGTCCTCTGCAGCTGTTAAACCCTCTGCAAATGTGAACTATTCAAGTCAGAGAGGTCATGGGTGGTGTACCGTTCAACACTATCCCCAGGTCCTTGCCGGATGCTGATCCGTAGTAGGTGCCCAATTAAGCACTGAATTCATACTAAAGAAGCCTTATTTCTAAAAATGAGAATAAGGGAGTCCACGTGATTAAAGCGAAACAATGGTCTTTTCAAAAACACCTGTACTACGTGTGGAGTGGAAGGGGCCGTGGGTGCACAAAACACGACTCTAGGGCACTGGGTGAAAACAGTGCATTCCTAGAATCAGGGGAATTTGGAGGGCAATGTCTTTGGGGCTAACAAGAGTTCTGTGATCAGTATGATTGAGGAAATAGCGATCTTAAGAGGAAAAAACCCAGAGAATGTTGGTGATTGGTGAGGTAAGGCAACACCCGCATGCCAGTTTGGTGGTGCCAGGAAAGATGCTACTGCTGGGACAACTTCCTCACCAAGTACCCCCTGCCTTCCGCCCCTTGAGATTCAATTTCAGTGCCACTGACAGCAGCAGTTAAACAGTCAAGTCACCGAGTTGAGTGCGAAGGAATCACATATCAAGGTAGGGGATGGACTTGGGCATTAAGCTCTAGGACAGCATGTTATCCACCAGTGTACAGTGTCAGGGCATCTAGTGTTCTAGACTCTCACCTCCTCCTCTGCATAATCCCTTGGAAACCAGTATTTCCTTCTGGTTATTCATTGTAATTCACCAAAATCCCAATATTTATAAAAGCCAGATACAACATGGCACTGGTAAAACACTCAGTATTCATCCTGTTCCATCTTATGGATGAGGAAACTGGCTCAGAGAGGTCCAGTGGCTTGCCTGAGGTCACCTAGCTGGGCATGGTTGGCCAACTGAGAAGTGACCTCACTCTTTTAGGCAGCCTTCTGAGATCTGTTGTGAAACCCTTCACTTTCTTCCAGAGAAGGCTGTGTACCTATGAAGAAGGCCCAAAGAGCCCTCTCAGGAAGGACTTCTGCACATGCCTGTCCTTTTTTTTTTTTTTTTTTTTTTTGTGGTACGCGGGCCTCTCACCGTTGTGGCCTCTCCCACCGCGGAGCACAGGCTCCGGACGCGCAGACCCAGCGGCCATGGCTCACGGGCCCAGCCGCTCCGCGGCATGTGGGATCCTCCCAGACCGGGGCACAAACCCGTGTCCCCTGCATCGGCAGGCGGACTTTCAACCACTGCGCCACCAGGGAAGCCTCCCTTCTTATTTTTACGCTTTAAGCATGGAACCCTTTTGCTTTGGGTTGGCTCAAAGATAAGGGTTTCAGAGATTGGACAGGTGAGATAGATCCATTATTTTCCTTTAATGGTCAAAGTCCTGGGAGAGATCAATCAAGACCTGGATCTGAATTTGCTTGGCCAGCATAGACGTGAAGACGCTTTTCAATAGGCTGCTGGGCCTGAGGAATAAAGACAATCAAATAAACAATGAAGAGGTGGAACCACCTCAGATTCCGATGACCAGTGTTGTTTCCAGCTGCAAAGCATGCCCTGCTCTTGGGATGTTCCCAGAGGCCAAAAGAGGGCAGAGTTCAGCAGGGAGTGAATTTTCTTTCCTTCTTTCCTTGAAGAGATGAAGGGCACCATCCACCACTTAATTTCTGATAAGACATTATCATCTTTAAGACATTCTCATCTGAAAAGACATTCTCATCTTTAAGAAATGAAACACTGAGCTGAATTTTGCATCAATGGAATACCTACTCCTGTTAAAGCACTTATAAAGGAAAACATCTACAAAATGTCCCATTAGGCTGATAAATTTATAACACTATGAAAAGTATGCCGGCAGTTTCAAAGCCGACTAGAGCATTGTGTTTAAAGAGTATGAACGGATTTGAGTTTAGCAATATTTCATTAACGCGAACAAGTTTAGCCATCACATCCCTTCCCAATATTTCCCACATTTACTTTCAACTAGGCATCTGTATGCCATGACAGAATGTGGACATCATCTTAAAAAATCAGTTGTAAAATGAATGATATTAAATGGACTTTCACAGCATGAAGACATGGAAATATATTCTCATCTTGATGTGTGGGGCTGTACAGACATAAATGCCATTAGCGTTAATGGTAATTAGGTGCGTAAATCCCCATGCTCCGGATGAGACTATGCCCCTTAGTTTGCAAATACAATAACGGGCTCATTTTTGAGGCTAGGAACAGCTGAGACTGTCTTCCCCCCCTCTCACTAGAAGAGAGATCCAGAGTGGCTTAGAGCGTAAAATCTGATCATCCGCTTTCCCAAAACATGTGGTTCAAGCACTTTAAAACCCTTTTACCTCGGAAAAGCTGAAGATGTAGAAAAAAGTCTCAAACTGCAATCTGAGTACTCCAGTAATTTATGCCAGATCATTCATAGTTTCCTGTCACCTGCTAGGGTGGGTACATTGCAGGAGATATACACTCTCATAGCCAACTTGTTTTATTATGGTCTGATAAGTAGCAAGAATAATATTTTTCAGTCAACCCAGAAAAGGCTGTTTAGCTACAATGAAAATTTGCAGAAAGTAAGCAAATTTAGCATCCTGCTCACCAAAGCCAATATATTCTAATCTTATTAAAGCAGGCAGGTAGATGACAGTGCCAGGGAAAAGGTTCAAGTCTTCTGTTTTTAATTCTTAAATTAATAAGGTGGTGTGACCCAGTGCTTGGTTAGGCCCACCTTATACAGTAGGAAAACAAAAAGTCCTCTTTGCCAAAAAGTCGGAAGACATTACCACAGAGGGCCGCTGGCTTTATAACTTTACAAACACTTCATCAGGGGAAGACGGGGCAAGGAGACACGTGTAATTAAAATATACTAAAAAAACAAGCCATTGTGGCTTTCAATTACAACGGAACTAAGAAGCAACTATATTATTTCTACAAACTATTTTCACTTAGCACAGTTCAGATGGAATTACTGCCATGACCTTTTAAAAATGTGAAAGAGTGAATCAATACCCTTTCAGAGGCAAGATTGCAGGAGCAGAATTGGCCGTGCTGTAATAGTGTGTATTTCTGCATCAGAAGGCAGTTGAAACCTAATTATCGTCAATCACATACAAGGTAGCTCGCCGTCCTGATGAGCCGGGGCGGGCAGCAGCATGCCCGGGAGGGTCTGTGCATGTGAGTCTTCGTGGAGGACGAGCACGTGTGGTGAAGGGGCCGGGGGATCTCGGAAGCCCTGGGCCGGCAGGGTAAGGCTTACAGGTGAGTTATAGGGACTGTCACTCATTTACAATAACTAACACTGGCCTGTCAGAAACAGCCACCTGTAAATGATGTATGAATGGCTGGCAGCCTGCCATCCCCCAATAGACCTTGCAGCCAAGAACCACGTTTCATTGTCGAGGTCATTGGAATGCTTACTTGGATACATGCCATATACTATTAAAAAATAACAAACAGCCAATCAGCAACATTTCTTAAGGCTCAAGGGCAAAATAGCCAACCTTCCTTTAGAAAATAGAAAACGAACATCCAAGATCCATTTTAGCAGGGAATTTTTAAAATTACTTTTCCCTAGATATAAAGAAGCAACGCTCTGGAGAAGCCTGAGCCTGGGGATACAATGTCAGATGGAGAGAATACATATGGATATTCACTTTTCCTAAGCTCTTTTATCCATGATACCAGCAAAACAAAAACAAAAACAAAAACAAACTCCTCTTCATCAACAAGAGTGATAGCCCCAATTGCTAGACTATGTGCAGATAAGTTCCCAGGCTATGAAAGCCACAGAAACCAGTTAGCGAGGCAAGGAGATAAGGACCGCAGGTTTGATTTTCCTATTCGATTCCATCCTTTTGGAATCCGCCTGAGACACTAAGATAATCTTATATACTGTGACACTTTTTGGGGGGTTCGATCAATCTTTTTTATATACCATCAGAAGGCTATATCACGTTTTTAATTTTATTCAATAGCCTAAATGTGAGCATAAGTTGCAACATTATTTCAACACAAGAAACACAACATTATTAAATGTTACGGATATTAAGCCATGAAGAAGTGTTTGCC